AAGAAAACCATCCCTTATAAAGGCTGACCAGCCGCCTGGGACGTGTTACCCTATGAATGGCTTTAGCTCCTCAGGCAAAAATGAGCCACGGGATAGGCAGAGATCAAAGGAATGGAAATTACCCAGCGCCTGTGAAGTAATTTACATCTTGGTGTCTTTAGGCACCATTATAATGCAGGAAAACGGCTTCCTACACACCCTACCTTTCTTCTGCCCTCCTGTAAGTCTAGCATTCTCCCTGAATCTTCCTCCTGGGTCTCAGAGTAAGAAATGACCCTATACCCCCAAATAAAGCAGCCACTTCTGCTTGTCAACAAGTCACTGCCTGACTCCAAGTAAATCTTTGACATAGATTTGAGTCTGATATGGATTTACCGGGGGTTACCTTGTGGACCGTAGAGCGCTGGGGCAAATCACTAAGGATAGCTAAGGTCATAAACACATTAAAGGTGGCCAGTTGGGAAGTATTTAATTTCTGGACATTGCTAGTGTAAATTTGCATGAATTAAATTTCAAATGTGTTAAATTTACTGTTGGCATCTGATATGTGCATGGGGAGACCAGAGGGCAATTTTGTGGGGTCATTTCTCCCCCCCTTTACATAGGTTCCAGGGATTTAACTTAGGTCATCACGCTTGCACCAAAAAGGTGGCAAGAGCTTTTGAATCACTGGACCATATCACTGCCCCAAATGTATATGAATTTTTATTTACATAATTTTCAGCAGAATAAAGGTAAACTTAAGGAAAACAGAAAGAATTCCTCTGAATGGGAGGGGTTCTACTGGAGGAATGTGCTATATTTACATATTTTAAATATTTCATAAAATTTTGTACCAGGCAGTGGTGGCACACGCCTTTAATGCCAGCACATGGGAGGCAGAGGCAGGCGGATCTCTGTGAATTTGAGGCCAGCCTGGTCTACAGAGCAAGTTCCAGGACAGCCAGGGCTACACAGAGAAACCCTGTCTAAAAAAAACAAAAAAACAAAAAAACAAATTGTAATGAGGCAGCAGGATCTGGGGCTTCTGGCAGCCAGCCTAACTCAGTCAGTGTGCTCCAGGCTAGGGGAAAGACTGTCTTAAAAAACAGGATGAACAAAAGCAATTGAGATTGTCCTCTGGCCTCCGCATAAATGCCTACCCCCCCCCCACACACACACTACACACACTAGTACCTGCACATATACAGCCACTCACAGACAAAAAAAAAAATTTTTTTTCGAGACAGAGTTTCTCTGTGTAGTTTCTTTGGAGCTGTCCTGGAACTCATTTTGTAGACCAGGCTGGCCTCGAACTCAGAGATCCACCTGTCTCTGCCTCCCAAGTGCCAGAACTAAAAGCATGTGCCATCACCACCAGGCCAAAAACACAATTTAATTGAAAAAAAAAAAAAGGGTCAGTCCCAGGGGAAAGTATTGGAGGCTAACAGCTTGCAGAAAAAGCAGGAGAGTGGTGAGATTTGGCATCTGAAAAGACTAAATATACAAGTACAGGCCTTGAGACAGCCCAACGATTGAGCTCTGGCTGCTATGTTCAAGGCCATGGGTTTGGTCCTCAGTTCAGAAAAGACAAAGGAGCATATACCTGGGATATATGAAATCATGAACTCAAAGACTTACATAAAGTTTCAAATTAGCTCACAATTTTGGAATATATTTTTAAAAGTTTCAGCCAGGCACTATGGTGCTCAAATGCACTCTTAGCATGTCAGAGATGAAGAGGCAGGAGGGTTGGGAGTTCAAAAATATTTCAGGTTGACAAAACTGTGTTTCAAGCATCCATGTTAATCCCTGGTTCTGTTTCTTGTGCTTATAAGGAAGATGTTATCCACATTCCTCATTGTCATCTTCAAAATCCAAAGCTTGTAGACAATCTGTGAGCGCATGTCAAAGTCCTGTTGTAAGCAAAATGGCCCAGAGACAGGCCACTTAAATTTAGGTTTTGGTGTGGACATTTGTGTTTAGGGGGAGGAAAGACCATCTGGTGACCGTTAAGACTGATGAAAAGAACAGCTAAACAGCCACCAGGGTCTGGCCTGAGGCATCTGGGAGGTGGCTGGCCTCCCAGATCCAGACCTAATTCCATTAAAGTTCATTGAGAAATTGCTTAAGCATTTTATCAGGCATTTCATCCTAGAGGGAGAATTATAAATTATAAGTTGGATCACATTAAAAAAAGAAAAAGTTCTGCCTCAGGCCTGAGGCAGGTGCAGGACAGTTGCTTTATACAGCAGATTGACAATACCATCTCAGTGAGTCTGTGAGCAGGGCCACTGTTCCTGACTGAATGATTCCGGACCAAGCAAGAAGAGCACATAGTAGGATAGCAAGTTGCTATGGGC